GAGGGTGGGTGGGGGAGGGAGGGGGAAGAAATGGGGAGCTGATATTAGGGGCTCAAGTGGGAAGAGAATGCTTTGAAAATGATGAAGGCGGCATATGTGCAAATGTGCTTGACACACTGGATGAATGTATGGATTGTGATAAGAGATGTAAGAGCCCCCAATAAAAGTAATTTTCTTAAAAAAGATGCAGTGGTAGAATGGCTACCACGGTGGGTTCGGACAGAACCACCGTTATGAGGATGGTGCAGGACCAGTGGTGTTGGCCCTGAGTGGTTTATCTATCTTGCAGTGGTTACACCTTGGGCTTCAATCCGCAGGGTTGGCGGTTGGACGCCACCAGCAGCACCACAGAAGAAAGGCCGGGCTTTCGGTCAACAGTTACAGCCTTGGAAACCCACAGGAAGTCGCTATGAGTCAGCAATGGCTCGATGGCAGTGAGTGAGTGCCAACCTAACTGTGGCGTAGTGGGCTCCACATTGGGCTGTTAGTTGTCAGATTAGCAGTTCAAAACCATCAACCGCTCTGCAGGAAAGAGATGAGGCGTCCTTCTCCTGTCATGATTTACAGCGTCAGAAACCCACGCGGGCAGCTCTACTCTGTCCGGTAGGGTCGCATCCGAATTGAATGGAGGGCAGTCAGTTTGGGTTTTGAGTTTAGTGTCAATCTGTCTCATCGAGGGTCTTCCTCTCCTTCCCTGACCCTCTACTTTGCTAAGTGTCCTGCCCTTCCATGGACAGGCCCCTCCTGAGACATGGCCCATGTATGTGAGATGAAGTCTCACCAGCCTCGCTTCTAAGGAGCACTCTCAGTCTGTGCGCTTCTGAGCATCCCTGGTACTCGGAACACTCTCACCAGCACTGTCATCCAGACAGACACACAGAACTTGCACCTGCAGCTGCAAGGCACTCTGCAGTTTCAGACACCCCACCCCACCAAGCCCGCCCCGCAGCCCCTTCCCCGGCAGGAAACAGACACACAAGAGAGAGAATGGATGGAGGGCCAGGGGCCTACTCTTTATTGTACAGACCAAGCAGGGGGGCAGACCCACAACTCCACAGGGTAGGTTCCCCTCCCCACCCCAGGGGGTTGTCTCCATCTTGCAGTAAGCAATGCTGACTGGCTCTGCAGCGAGGGCATCTGGTCAGAGGCCAGGGCTGGCCATTTCTCCCTCTCTCCAAATAGCTGTGCAGTTGGGAAAACTTCAAGGGCAGCTGCCCCTCCGGAGGCCGACGTGAATCAGAGCTGAGGGATGGGACACAGACAGGGTAAGTGTTGAGGGGAGAGTGACAGGGCAAGGGTTCTGGTGGCCCCCGGTGTGCATAGGTACCTGTGCCCATTACTATGGAAGGAGCCCTGGTGCCAGAGTGGGTTGCACAATGGGCTGCCAACCACATTCAGCAGTTCAAAACCCCCAGCCCCTCCAAGGGAGAAAGATGAGGCTTTCTACTCCTAGAAAGAGTAACAGTCTCAGAAACTCACAAGGGCAGTTCTGCCCTACACTTGAGGGTCTCTGTGAGTCAGAAATGACTCCCTAGCAGTGAGTTTGATGCATTCCTATACAGAGGGGGCTACAAGAGCCATGGTGCTAGATGAAAGATGGGCAGGCCCACAAACCCTGTGGAATACTTCCACCCTGGGCTGTAGGGTCCATATAGGGGGAGGTATGGGCAAGGGTTAGGGTGACTATCAGCGTAAGGAGTAAGGTCAAGGTTGGGTCTATGGTTAGGGTGTGGTTTAAAGCATGGCTGAGAGCAGTGCTTCCCAAAGTGGACCATTCTGCCCCCTGGGATGTGCTGGATGATCCAGGGGGCTGCCAAAGCAGATACCTACACTTTACCCAGATGATGGGCTACAGAGTACAGACACTTTTCATTGTCAGGGGAATGCTGAGTCTTTATGTGTGTGTGTCTGAAAAGGGGGTGGTAGGCCAAATCAGTTTGGGGAGCTGTGAGTTGGAGGTAGATCCAAGTCTCAATGAGCCATGAGATTTCTGGTTTGGGAGAGGATTAGGTTGGGGGTGAGGAGTTGTGCTTGGGCTAGCCATAGGAATTGGTCTGGGTTAAGTGTAGGGCTAAGCTATGGGTTAGGTGTCAGACTATAGTATGTGTTAGGTTTAGGGCTGGGTTAGTCAGGGTTGAGGTGTGACCAGGGTGATGGTTAGGTTTAAGACCTGAGCTAGGGGCGGCATGGTCTGGGCCTTGTGCTTGCTGTAATGCAAAGGGTCAGTTAAAGGTTAGGGCTTAGAGTTGGGGCAGGCCAGTGGGCTATACAGGGGGCAGTGTTGTTCCCGTAGTATTCTCCCCACCCATGTGGGAGATCTGGGTGTGGTTCCAAGCCATTGCACCTCATGAATAGCTCCACCCCATCTTGGGGTAGGGTACCCCAAAAGCAAGGTAGACAGAGGCCTGTTGACACTCCCAGATGAGTAAGGCAGCCCAAGTAAGGCCAGGCTTACTTTACTGACTGGGTTCTCTATCCCCATCAAAATAGCACAATGGAAATGAGGCTGCAATTCCATGGGAGGGCCTGTGAACTCGGGAGAGCAGCCGAGGTCAGCCAAAGCGAGGGGCAGACACTTGAACATGGTGGTAAACGTGAATGTTCATTGCAGATTGATCAGTGGGACCAAGTCATCCTGTGCTCACCTCACTTCCTGAGTTATCCGACGCTGCCGCCACCTGTCCACCAGGGCCAATCCGCATGCTGCCGAGTAGCCTCTGGTGACACCAAGGATCTAGCACTTGGCTATGAAGGTTGACAGTTTGAACCCACCAACCTGGAGGGTCCTCATTTGTTTGTGAAAGTCCCCAGTTTGGGAACCCATGGAGGGGTGGTCCTTAATATACCTAGAGCTGTGCCGTGAGGCAGAATCGACTTGGTGGCAACTAGCAGCAACAGCAACTTGAGCTGAATAGATTTCCATGGAGCTTTCAGGCTCAGGCAGACTAGGAACAAAGGCCTGGTGATCTACTTCCAAAAGTCAGGTAATAACTGATCACACCAGCCTGATCCGCAGCCAATTATGGGCAAGGGCAAGGGCACAGGCCTGGGAAGCACTGTGTCCTGTAGGGCATGGGGTTGCAAAGAGCTGCTGGCAGCTGAGCACATTCCTATACAGACTCCGCTGAGAGGCAGGAAGAAGGGAAGGACGCAGGGAGTAGAAAGGAAACAAGAAGAAAACTTGGGACAGATTTCCTGAAAACCAAACGCACTGCCATGCAGTGGATTCTGATCCATAGTGACTCTCTATAGGACAGGGCAAAACCGCCTGTGGATTTCTGAGACTGTAATTCATTACAGGAGTAGAAAGCCTCATCTTACGCCCAAGGACTGGTTGGTGGTTTTGAACTGGTGACCTCACAGTTAGCAGCCCAACTCATAACCGTTATGCCACTAAGACTCTCAGTTCCCAAGGCACAGTCCCCTAGACTCTGTGCTCAGAATGGCCCATGTTCTCATCCAAAGTCATACTGTTGCTTTAGGGAAACACGAAACCATAAGAAACATTGCTGCAGAGGCAAATCCCCACCCATGGCAACCCCGTGTGGCGCACATTAGAACTGAGCCCTGTAATTCTATACCAGGGAAGATTTCTGGGGGGAGGAGGCAACACAGGAGGAGCCCAGTGTGGCCACGTGGAGACCAGGGGGAATGCCACAGCATGTAGTCAAGATGCTCATGGAAAGATGGAATGACGAGAGATTGGCATTTCCCCATCAATTTTTGCAGCCTGCTCGTGTACACAGAGAGAAACAGCAGTTTGATCCCTGGAATCAGGGTGAGGGCTGATAGCCAGCCTTTACTTCTGCAGTGCAGTGGGTTCAAATCATCAGCCTTTCGATCCACAGTGGAACACAAACCATTTGTGTACCCAGGGACCCTGCGGTGGTGACATGGTGGGTCCCAGGTTCCATGTAAGGACACAGATAGTCAGGGAACTGTCGGCGTGGCTGGCCCAAGGTCTCAAGGCTCGTGACAGCGGAACACTCGGCTCTGAGGTTGGGCTTGTTGAGCTCCAGAGCCCATGGCCAGTGTGCATGGGGAATGGAGCCGCCCGGCTTGGGGACAGGCAGGAAAGTGGGGGCTGGGAGGGGCTTCCGCAATTGCTCTGTCCTTGGGGCAAGCATTCTTAAGGAAGAAACTCATGGGGAGTGGGAGGGGAGCGGGTGCTTCTATCAAGGAAACAGGGCCTGAGAACCAATTCTTGTTGAAAGCATCCCTACAGATGTGTGCCCTTTGCCTGGCCTTTAAACTGCTTTCCGAGTCCCCTAGAGCATGATCATGCAAATGAGGATTGGCTCTTTACTCGGTAATTGAGAGCACTGAGAAGGGCCATGTTAAGTCAAATTAATTTGCTCAGATACAGTCTCGGCTTGTCTCCTGGAAGGGTCAGCAGGGTTTTGATGGGTTGCAGGGGCCTGAATAATGGAGCCAGCTTCCCAAGGGGAGGGCACTTGGCTTGTGGGGTCAAGGGGTCCTGGTGAAGGTAGGTGGGGGTTCAGCTGGGGTCACACAGTCCTCGGGCCCCTAAGAGTTCTGAGACTGGGAGAGGCACAAGGGTTGGGTTGTGGTTGGCCACACTGTTCCAGGCCACTAAAAACAGAAACAAAAATATCCACTGCTATCAAGTCAATGCTGACTCATGGTGACCCTATAGAACAGGGTAGCACCGCCCCGGTGGGTTTCTGAAACTGCAATTCTTTATGGGAGTAGAAAGCCCTGTCTTGGGCAAGATATGACAAAATAACAATTTATAAATTATCAAGGGCTCATGAGGGAGGGGGGAGTAGGGAGGGAGGGGAAAAATGCTGGGGGTTTAAGTGGAGAGGAAATGTTTTGAGAAGGATGAGGGCAATGAATGTGCAAATGCGCTTTACACAATTGATGTGTGTATGGATTGTGATAAGAGTTGTTTGAACCCCTAATAAAATGATTTTTAAAAAAAAGAAAGAAAGCCCTGTCTTTCTTCCACAGAGCAGCTGGTGGTTTCAAACTGCTGACCTTGCAGTTAGCAGCCCAATGTATAACTACTATGCCACCAGGGCTCTTCAAGGCACTGCTAAGCCTGAAAACCCACATACCCATTGATTGGATTCCAAGGGCTACAGGGGAGAACCGCTCCTACATTTTCCTTGGCAGATAGGCCTTTCATCCTCAGAGCAGTGCATTCCAACCATCCCCACTTAGGCGAGTTGCCAAGTGCATAATGTTTGGAAACCAAGCCAATGCACTGCCATTGAGTTGATTCCACCACACGGCCATGATGTAGGGTGGAGGAGGGCAGCTCCCTGGGGTTTCACAGGCTGTCCATTAGAAGCAGACTGCCTCATCTTTTCACCAGGGAATGGCTGATGGGTTCGAACTGTCAACCTTTCCATTAGCAGCCATGTGCCCTACCAAGGGTTCTCAGAGCCAGGGTGGGAGGGAGGGGGTATGGCCTCAGGGAAAGAGCATGGAGTCAGGGGACAGGGCTGGAGGCAGACCTTCCACAAGGCTACTTGGGGACTTGTCCCCTTGTGTGATAAGGTTCCAGGTCCCAGAGTGCCAATTTATGGCCTTAGGATTTGGCTGTCATCCAACAGTGGCTCACCCAGGACAGGGCTGGGATACGTGTGCCAAGGAAGAGTGCTGGAGGGAAGCACCACACCACCAGAGACCCCAGGGTTGGGCTGGAGCCCTCTAAATATCGAACCTCTAGGGAATTCTGTTAGGGTCCTAAGAGTTACAGCAACATATGGTCTGTTCAAAGCTGCCAGGCTTGGGGGGCACTAGAAAGGAGGGTCTCCACCTAGCTTTATTGGGTAGCTCGGTTTACCTTGCTTTTCAATACTTGTGTTGAAAAGCAAAGAGGTTACTTTGAGGTCTAAGGTGTGCCTGACCTAAGCCATGGTATTTGCACTTGCCTCCTATGCACGTGAAAGGTGGATACTGAATCAGAAAGACCCAAGAAGATGTATTTGAATGGTGGTGCTGGCGAAGAACATTGAGAGGACCATGGACCACCAAAAGAACCAACCAATCTGTCTTGGAAGAAGTCCGTACGGCCAGCATGCTCCTTGGAAGCAAGGATGATGAGACGTTGTCTTACATACTTTGGACATGCTGCCAGGAGAGACCGATCTTTGGAGGAGGACATCGTGCTTGGTAACGTCGAGGGGCAGTGAATAAGAAGCAAGCCCTCGACAAGATGGATGGACACAGGGGCTGCAGCAATGGAGTCGGACATGAGAACGATTGTGAGGATGGCACAGGACCGGGCAATGTTTCCTTCTGCTATACATCAGGTTGCTATGAGTCGAAACTGACTCAATGGCACCGCACAGCAAAAGGTTTACCTTGTCCGCAGGCTCCTACTTCTGGAGGTACTTTTTCATGATGCTCTCGACATCATCCTCCTTCCTCCTTGCCCCCGGCTCTCTGTTGTCTGGCGATGTCCGCTCCCCACCGTCGCCCTCCAGTCTCAGGGCTCTCGGCCGGCTCTTGACGCTGTCGCCACTTTTAAAGGACAGGAGGGAACCAGAGGAGGAGGAAGAGTCGGAGAGCTGAGCCTGCTCTTCCCTGGGGCTCAGGCCCTTGGGCAGAGCAGTGCTGAAGGAGCAGTCGGCGTCCTCGGTTTCAAAGTGGACGCTGGACAGCTGTGAGTGCTCCTGTCCGTCCTTGGTGGCCCTGGACAAGGGGCTGGGCGCCTCAGGCTTGCGGATGGCCGGGAGGAAGTCGTCGAAATCTGCTTTGGTCTTGGGCTGGTAATGGAGGCCGGGGAGCTTCCAGTTGGGTGGATCCTGGCCTGGAGGTCCAGCCATGAGGTGGGCGAACTGGCTATTCTGGAAGACCAGCGGCTTCTGCCCCAGGTCTGCGGGGCTGGCATCATCTAGGGAGGAGTCCAGGAATGGCCTCCGAGGGCCCAGCGTGGGGGACACAAGGGTGTCCCTGGATGGATCCGAGGAGCTCCGGTCTCTCAAGGAGCTGGACCCAGACTCGATCAGGGACTCACAGGAACTGAACCGAGTCTTGGCCCTCTCGGACAGCGGTGGCGTGGTGGCAGTTGCGCTGTAGGACGAGACACACCTCAGGCTGCTAGAGCGCAGGAGCCCCGCAGTGCCCTCGGGTTCCAGGGGGGACCTGGCCCCTGGCCGCAGGGAGAGGTCGCCCTCGTCACTGCTAGCCCGGCCCCTCCGTAGTGCGGCGGCCCCAGTGGTCTGGTAGATGGGCAGGGTGGACCAGTCCTCCAGGGCCAGTGAGGAGCCCTGGCCCTTCTGCGCCCTCTTCTTCCGCAGCCCTTCCACGAACTCCGAGAGGGCTGCCGAGGGACTGGGCAGCTTCTCCCGTGACAGAGGGGAGGCCTCTCTACTCTGGGTTGACAACGGGGATGAAGACAGAGCTTCCACGTTCTCCCCTCTCTTCTTCTGGGGGCTAAACCCTTCCCCGTCCCCAAAGTGGTGGTGTTTCTGCAGGCTGGCAGAGGGAGCAGACCAGCTCCCAGGGGATGTGCAGCAGGCTCCCGTGGGCGCTGAGGGTCCTTGGCCTTTCTCAGCATCCCCAGCCTCCTTGTTCTTCATCCTGTGCCAAGAAAGGAAAACAGTCATCAGTGGGAGCCAGGCAGCCTGGACCATTTGCGAGATGTGCACAGAGCCGAGGAAGCACAAAGCCAAATATTATTTTTCCTGGGAAGCCCTTTCCCCCTGTGCTTGCCAATGAGCTGTAGGGCACCAGGTGACACTGGAGCCACAGCCTCTACTGCTCGAAGCTCCACTGAGATGCAATTTCTGCCTGTAATTAAACCCAGCTAAGGCCATCGGCGTAGATTACAATGGCAGCAAGGATGGGTGACTGGGATTTATGAGGCATCATGTCTGATGCGACGAGGCTTGTCACCCTGAGGGGGGGGCTGGGCATGTGAAACAAGGACTCTGCTTCTCGAAGATGCAGGGTGGGGGCTGGGGCTCGGAAGAGTTGGGGCTGATCTTTGTTTAGAGTCCCGCCAAATGGGGGTTCTGAGACCACCATGTGTGACTGACGGTAAGGCTTTCTAATACCCCTCTCTGGCTTGTTTCCAGGGTGTGGGGGTTTAATGCATGCCCCCCCCCCCAAAGAAACATTAATGTGGGATTAGCTTGAAACCAAGGCAACCTAATTTCTTTGCTGGGCTCCAGCAGGCCTTGGAGAAGGCAGACCGGAGAAGAGTCGCTGCATTTAAATGATGGTGCTGGTGAGGACTATTGAAAGGACTGTGGCTGCCAAAAGAACAAACAGCTGTCTTAGACGAAGTTCAGCCAAAGTCCTCCTTAGAGGAAAAGGTGGTGGTGCTTCGTCTCATGTCCTTTGGGCATGTTGTCAGGAGAGACCAGACCCTGGAGAAGGACATCATGCTTGGTAAGCACAGGGGGTGCAAAACCGAGGAAGGCCCTTGAAGAGAGGGGTAGACACAGGGGCTGCAAACGTGGGCTCACACTTAAGGACTGTTGTGAAGATGGTGCAGGAGGGGGCATGTTTCTGCTCAGGGGGGCACTAGGAGTTGGAAGCCACGCGCCTGCACCGACAACAGAAGCAGCCGCTGCAGGTGCAAGCTTGGCTCTTGCGCAGAGGGGTCCCAGTGGCTGAGTCAACCCAGAAGGGTCTCAATGCAAGGAGAGGGATGGGAGGCCTCAAACTTCCCTTCGATACATACCAGGGATTTGGCTTCCCTCAAAAGGAAACTCCCACCCCACCCCCCCCACCAGCAAACATATCATTCACACTAATGATGTACAGGAAGGTCAGACAAAGCCAGGGACCGGATTCAGACTCTCAGTCCTCAGGCCCTGGTGGCTGCTGGCATAGTTGCCATGGCTACGATGGTGACGGGGTCTCAGCCCAATTGGGGACTCAGTCCAACACACAGCAGGGTGGTCGGGGTTCTGGGAGGAGACTTGGAGGAAGGCAGTGTGCTCGCCTGTTTGCTCTCACCACCCCCACTGGCCATCACATGTGTCCCAGTCACACAGTGATTAAGAGCTTGGCTTAAAAGTAAATAAAAATCATATCAATGTGAATGAGGGGGAGGACAGAGTGGAGACCCAAAGCCCATTGGTGGTCACTTGGACATCCCCTGTCAGAAGGGCCAGAGGAGAGACAAGCCAGTCAGGATGCAGTATAGCATCGATGTGACGAAACTTATAACTTTCCTCTAGTTCTTTAATGCTTTCTCCCCGCAACTATCATGACCCAAATTCTACCTTACAAATCTGGCTAGACCAGAACATGTACACTAGTATAGATAAGAGCTCACAACACAGGGAATCCAGGACAGATAAACCCCTCAGGACCAATAATGGGAGTAGCAATACTAGGAGGGTAAGGGAAGGGGGTGGGGAATAAGGGGGAACCAATCACAATGATAGACGTATGGCCCCCTCCCAGGGGGATGGACAACAGAAAAGTGAGTGAAGGGAGACAGTGGTCGGTGGTAGACACAAAAAAAACCAAAAAACACCCCAACTGTATAAATTATCAAGGGTTCATCAGGGTGGGGGCGGGGCAGAAATGAGGAACTGATACCCAGGGCTCAAGTGGAAAGAAAATGTTTTGAAAATGATGATGGCGATATATGTACAGATGTGCTTGACACAACGGATGTATGTATGGATTGGGATAAGAGCTGTACAAGCTCCCAATAAAATGATTTTTAAAAATAGTTGGTGGATTGAACCCACCCAGCGGTTTCTGAGGGAGAAAGGCCTGGCTAGCTGTTCTGGGAGAGGAACTACCTGGGGACGCTATGGGCCATTCCGTTCTGTAACTTGGACTGCTGGAGTCGGATCAACTTGGCTGCACCCAGCAACACAACCCACTTGCAATCACCAATGGGCCATGGCAAAGGAGAAAAGTGAGCTGAAAGGAGCGGGGTGGATTACGCGTTGGGTTGTTAACCACAGGGTTGGCAGTTCAAAACCGCCAGCCTCTCCAAGGGAGGAATATGAGGCGTTCTGCTTCTGTGAAGAGTGACAGCCTTGGAAACCCACAAGGCTTGCTCTACCTTGCCCTAGAGCAGTGGTTCTCCACCTTGCTAATGCCGCGACCCTTTCATACAGTGCCTCATGTCATGGGGACCCCCAACCATAATATTATTTTACTTGCTACTTCTTCACTATAATTCAGCTACTCTTATGAATCGGGCGACCCCTGTGAAAGGGTTGTTGGACCCCCAAAGTGGTCACCACCCGCAAGTTGAGAACGGCTGCCCTGTGGGGTGGCTGTGAGTTGGTATTGACTTGGTGGCAGTGAGGCTGATTTTGAATTTTTTGCCTTCCATGACCAGATAGGCTTGCTTCTCAGGGAAGGCAGCCAAATCAATGACCCCTGGAGGCGGCACACCCATATTGAATGCAGCCATTTCTCTAATATCGAAAACAATGACAACCTCTGCCTGTCTAAGAATGCGCACACAAACTGGTCCACACTCAGTGTGGAACATTATGCACCCCTGAAAATGAGGCTGCTACATACCTCATGACATGGATACCATCAGAGGGCATTAGGCTCAGCAGAGGTAGCCAATTTCCTAAGGCTACCTTTTAGGACACCATTATTATGAAAGAAGAAAGAAAAATAAAAGTGTTTTCCACAAGAAGGCATTAAATGAGGCCAGGGCTAGGGGGTGGGGGGCATGGGAAGAGTGGGGAGGTAAGGAGGGAGGGTGGGTGGGGAAATATAAGGAGGAGGGGGAGAGGGAGGAGGGAGAGGAAGGAGGAGGAAGAGGAGAGGAACCACATCGACAGGGGTTACTGGAATCCTGCCCCTGGTCTGGTGAGACGGGCTGTGACACTGGATATCGTGTTTTTCTATATATGGGTGACTTTCCACAAATGAAAGGGAAGCACGAATAAAATGAACACCCTAAAGAAGAAGACCACAGGCCACAAGTCGTCCAGACTCCTGGCCCATCAGAGCTCAAGCCTGGCCTGACTACTCCGGAAAGGCATCCTGAAACGGGCTTTTGTGACCCAGGAAACCCCAAACCAGACTCCCCGCCACCGGGCCCATGCTGCCTCCGCACGTGCAGCCCTCTAGGACAGGGCAGCGTGGCTCCTGGGCGCGTCCCAGAATGCAGCTCCCAAGATGAGGAGGAGTCTTTCTCCCTCAGAACAACTGGTGGTTTCGAACTGCTGACCTTGAGGATCAGCAGTGCAACTTATAACCACTATACCATCAGGGCTTGTTAAAAAAAAAGTCTGGAGGGGGGGTCGTGCAGGCACAGGGATGGGGAGGTGGGGTGTCCTTTTGTGGGTGTGGACAGAGCCAGAGCTCCAGCTGTGCCTTTGCTCCAGCTGGCAGAACACCCCACCCCACCCCACCATCCATCCCCCCCCACCAGACTGAGACCTGGGTTGCCACAATGCTGCGTGTGCCAAGGGATTTGATGAGTGTTAGGTAGTGCTGGCAGAGCTCTGGCGCCCAGGATGTGAATGAGGTGGAGGTCAAGGTCTGGGGTAGCTGAGGGACCACAGGTGTGGAACTGCTGGTACCCTGAGCTCCCTCCTGCTGACTCCACCGCCCAGCCTCCCCAGCCTCAGTGCTCCCTCTCCAACCTGGCATCTTCCCAGCCGCCTCCAGGTCTTTCCTGTCTTCAGGCTTTGCCTCACTGCTCCCTTTGCCTCAGGCTCTCTCCCCATACCCTCCCATGCTCAGGCCATGGTGCCTACCTACCGGGGAGGTGGCACCGAGCAGCAACCTGTGGCTTTGGAGCCGATGCTTCCCCATGGTGCCCCCATGACAGAGTAGACCTGCGCTCCCTGAGCTTTTTCTGGCTGTCAACTCTCCAGGGGAGCAGTTCACCAGCACTTTCTTCTGCAGTACGTAGGTGGGTTCAAAAGGCAGCCTGTCGATGAGTCCTCACGGCCAAAGAGCCAATTCCAAGTGAGAGTCACCCGGCACCACAGGGTGGGACAGCCCTCCAGGATTTCTGAGTCTGTGTCTCTCTAATGGAACAGACAGTCTCATCTTTCAGCCAGTATGTGGCTGGGGGGCTTGAACCTCTGATCTAGCATTTATTAGTCTGATACTTAACTTGAGTGCAGATCATTTTTGCCACTCAGGGACTTTTAGGTGGGGAATTAAAAAGAAAAAACTTTTAGCACTCAACTTGGCACCTAATTACTCAAACATTGGTTAACGTTTATAGTGAATCATTATTAATCTATAATTAACCATCAATAAACCCACCATCTTTGATCTGACTCCAACCCTACAGGACAGTGGTTCTTAAGCTGTGGGTCATGACCCCTTTTGGGGTCGAACGACCCTTTCACAGGGGTCGCCTGATTCTTAACAATAGCAAAATTACAGTGATGAAGTAGCAACAAAAATAATTTTATGGTTGGGGGGTCACCACAACACGAGGCACTGCATGAAAGGGTCGCGGCATAAGGAAGGTTGAGAACCACTGCTATAGGACAAAGTACTTCTACTCCCTATGGTTTTGGAGGCTGTATATCATTATGGGAGCAGGCAACCTCATATTTCTCTTGCAGAATGGCCTGTGGGTTTGAACCACTGACCTTGTGGTTAGCAAACCAGTACTT